CTTACAACTGTACCTTCACGGGCCTCAGAGCGAGATGTGTCGTCGGACTCCATCAAAGCTGCGTGGATGTCCTGTCTTCAACCCCAGGAATCTGCAGCTACGTCCCATGGACTTCTGACGCAAGTTGATCCTCCAGGTCGTGAGAACATGGCGAGACTCCCACTAGCATTACCGGGCCTCCCAACGTCCTTGAAGGAATACAGCCACCTCTTCTCTCCCGAGCTGGGTCACGTGAAGGACTACACTCACAAGGTGAAGATCCGAAAATCAGTGCAGCCCGTGCAGCATAAAATGCGTCGCATTCTATTGATGGCGCGGAAGCCTGTGACTGAAGAAATCAAACGCCTTGAGGCAGCGGGAGTTATTGAGCGCATAAGTGCCTCAGAATGGGTGTCACCCATTGTTGTGGTCCAGAAGAAAGATGGATCAATTCGGATGTGTGTGGACCTTCGTGAAGCTAATAAGGCTGTCGTTATTGACAGTTACCCTCTTCCTCATGTTGAGGAGCTTCTTAATGCGCTGCACGGCGCGAGACGTTTCTCTAAATTGGACTTGGCGTCAGCTTACCATCAAGTCACACTACACCCTGACAGCCGAGACTTAACCGCGTTTATAACGCACGAAGGCTTATTCCGTTTCAAGAGAGTTTGTTTTGGTCTCGCTTCTGCTCCAGCTACCTTCCAGCAGATGATGGCAACGATTCTAGAAGGATGCGAAGGGGTCTTGTTTTACCTGGACGACGTCATAGTCTTTGGTAGGACTGGAGAAGAACACCTGGAGCGATTGCGCCATGTCCTCCAGCGAATCGCTGATAGTGGACTCAAACTTAACAACAAGTGCGTTTTTGACGTTGCCGAACTTTCATTTTTAGGCCATCATGTCAGCGGCGAAGGAATCGCCCCACTTAAACAAAAGGTAGACGTCATCAACGCAGCTCCCATCCCAACAGACATTTCGCAACTTCGATCATTCCTTGGGATGGTAGAATACTACAGCCGTTTTGTTCCTCGTCTAGCCGCAGAAGTAGAGCCCCTGCGCAAGTTCTTGAGAAAAGACATTCCATTCATTTGGGATACCGAAGCTGACACCAGCTTCAAGAAAATCAAAACAATGCTATCTTCGGCAAGGGTTCTGAAGATGTTTGACCCCAGTCTTCCCATAATCGTATCCACCGATGCGTCTGGATACGGGCTCGGTGCCGTGCTCCAGCAGCGCAATGGAAATGAAGTTCAGACCATCGCTTTCGCCTCTCGCACACTAACAGCAGCGGAGAGAAAGTATTCGGTGGGTGAAAGAGAAGCATTAGCATGTCTGTGGGCATGTGAGCGGTGGCACAACTACCTGTGGGGCCGCCGTTTCACCCTTCGGACGGACCATCAAGCCTTAATGACGCTGCTAGCAACACGGGGTACAGGCCATCGACCCCTCCGAATTACGAGATGGTCGACCCGTCTCCTCTGCTACAATTTTCAAGTCGAGTTTCAACGCGGAGCGGAAAATCAGGTCTCCGACGCGCTTTCTCGCCTCCCTCAGCCTGAGGATGAAGGCGGTACCGAATTTGACGAGGAAATAATTTCCTTCATTGCATTGCAGAACGAATGCATCACCAAGCTGCAACTACAAGAAGCTACAGCCAATGACTCGGTCTTGTCTGCTGCCATGACATACGTCACATCTGCGTGGCCTTCAAGACGGAACTTGTCTTCCGAACTCATCCCTTTCTATGACCTTAAAGATGACCTCGCCGTGGATGATGGCATTCTTTTAAGGGATGAGCGGTTCGTGATCCCTCAAGAGCTGCAGGGCATTCTCATCGCCAAGGCGCACGAGGGGCACACCGGGATCGTCAAAACCCGTACGAGGCTCCGAGAGCTCTACTGGTGGCCGAAAATGAACGGTCAAGTGGAGAACGTCATTCATGCTTGTGACATCTGCCAAGCGGCCGACAAAAGCGCAAAGACCTTTTCCACACCGCTTCAACCAGTACCTTTCCCTGAGCGACCGTGGTCGAAGGTAGGAATCGACATCGTGGGCCCTTTTGAGCGTGCCGAACCATCATGCCGCTACGCCATAACCCTGGTTGATTATTTTTCGAAGTGGCCAGAAGTACAGTTTTGTGCAGATGTCACCACCTCAAGGGTAACAGAATTTTTGCATCTGGTATTCTCCAGAGAAGGTTTACCAGAGAGCCTAGTGTCCGACAACGGTCCCCAATTCATTTCTCAACAATTCAAAGACTTCTTAAGTTCTCGTGGAGTCAAACATCATCTGATTTCGGTCTACTACCCGCAAGCCAACGGGCAAGTTGAGCGTTTTAATAGAACACTCAAGGGTTTCATCCAGTGTGCATCGAGGGAGAAACGGCAGATAAAATCTGCTGTAGTTGATTACCTGGGCATATACAGATGCACACCTCATACGACAACAGGGCTATCTCCTGCTCTGCTACTTCATGGTCGCAAACCCCGAACGCGATTGAACATTCTAGGACTCTCATCGTCAGAGTTTCTTCGTAACCCTTTCGAGGAAGTGCAGCGACTTCGTCGACGTGTTCGACAACAACAAGACAAGACCAAAGCCTACACCGACAGAAGGCGAGGAGCTAGAACACCGAAGTTCAAGGTCGGACAGCTGGTCCGAGTGAAGAAGCCCGGATCTGTTCCGAAAGGATCCTCTGCCTTTAGCAGTCCCTCCCGGATTGTCGAGCGTGTGGGCCGCTGGACATTTCGGCTGGAAGATGGCAGAATATGGAATGCCTCTAAGCTAGCGGCAGTTCCAGGACCGGCTTCCTCTGGTTTGGACCTCAGAAACCCGGTACCAACAGGGAAGTTTAGTCAAAGGTCAGCTGACCATCACCAGTGGCAACCACCGTCTGCACGATTGGGCTGGCGGAGCCAGCATGACCAGCAGACGCCGCGGACATCAGCTGGTTCCCCAACGCCATACGGACAACTGACCAGGTCAGCTTCTCAGCCGTCATCGCCAACTGGGAACCGACCTCTATCGGTACCTCCACCAGGTCCAGCGGGAGATGTGCCGTGGCCAGATCGACCACGGCGGGAACGACGACCGCCTGTGCGGTTTGGGGACTATGTCTCAAGATGAATAACTTTTGGACTTTGTATATGAACATTTCTATTTCTCTTTGATTTATTTTCGATTTTCTCTGTGAATCTTTCTCTTATACTTCTTCTTTATTTTTACCCCTTTAATTACTTTCTTTAGGCTTTGTCTTTTAGTTACTTTCTTAAAATGGGAGGGGGGAAAATGTTGTATCTTCTAGCTAATTACTTTCCGGTCACTTCGTCTTCTTCTGTCCTTTTCCTTTCTACTTCCTCTTCTTTACTAAAAAAGATTAAACATAGAGTCTCGTGGCAGCTGCGCTCAAGTGTGGTCGTTCCATTCCGGGTCTCCAGACACCACAGAATAGAAGGGTAGGAGAGGGCATGACGTTGGCCGCATAGCCTCCACAAGCCATGCTCCCTTGACGCCTCGCCTCTTTCTCATTTTCCTCCTTACTCTCCTCACTTAGCATGTCAATGTGACCACATCACGTAACCGTAGTTAGCCTTCGTCTTGCTATGGGGTACTAGAATACACCACAGTCAAGACTTCGATCCGATAAAACCTACCGGACGGAGCGCGCGCAAGCCTGCAAGGAGTCCTTCTACAATCAACCATCCATCTCACACGTGACATGTCACGCGCACCAATCGCCAGAGAGATCTGCGGTCACCCTGGGCACAAAATCGTTTAGACTTTTTATGACTAGGCTTCACCAATATTGCAACGTGCCCCTTCTAGTACTTCTAACCTCCTTGCGCTCGGGCCACCCTTTTTCGAACTGCGCGTGTATCACTGGGGAGCTCGTTAAAGGGGTACTCCGCCGATTTCTTCATGGTCCCCGATTTGCTTGAAATTTTGCTAAACTCGCCAAACAACATCGCCAAAATAGTATCCCAAATATTAGGTCAAAATATTTTTTTTTCACAAAGTTATTGAATTTACAATTTTGGTCCCCACCGTGTTTTTCAAACTGAAGGTCTCTACTGGCAACAATGAAAAAGTGACGTCAGTGGAAGTGCAGGGGGACTGTAGAATTTGTTCCCAACTGATTCGAAGCAGTTTCATGGTGTCAAATGAATGCTTTGGAAGCTTGCTCCAGTTCCCGCGCTCCAGCACGGAACAAATGATTGGCATATTCTATTTTTTAGACTGCTCGCCCGACTGGCAAGCTTACCTTCCACTAACGTCACGGCCCTGAAAAGGGCGGGTATATTTGAATGTCTGTTTTTGCATCATTTTCATTTGCTGATTTCGCAATAACTATTATGAATTTCACAATACTAAATAGCATACCAGAAAGGGTAAAGGCCGGGGAGGCAGAAAATATAGTTAGTTGAGGTAGCTCAAAAATCGGCGGAGTACCCCTTTAACACAGCCCCCCGCCTGCGTTCACGCCGCTTCGCGGCGACAGTACGCGGCTGCTAATTAGCGAAGCGTCCAGTCTGCCGGCTGGACGCTTCGCGGCGTCCAGCCGGCAACCCAAGCCCCGCTGTCCCCGATCTGCGAAGTTTCGTCGGCAACATTCGGTGTTTTTATTTAGTGTTCATCGCAAAAAAGAAATATAAATATGGCCAAATGCCTCAACAAAACAACATTCAAGAAAAAAAAAAAAAATGGTAGGCCCACCGCGATTCAAACCCACGTCCACTTGTGTAAGAAGCGGACACTTTAACCCCTACGCTATGCCACCGCTTAGGAAACTCGTGTGGCCATTCGTTTTATACGAAAGAAACGTAGTGCATATAGCAATTTCCGGCCGAGCTGCACTCCGGAGTGCATATAGCATTACTATCTTACAAATATCCTACATCTCTGTGGCCAGTGATTAGCATCTACGGGTACGGGCCACTTGCCTTCAATGTTGACCACACACCCTACCAACAGTTGATTGAGGAAAAATTTAAAACGCATTCTCTTCTGTGCAATCCAACCAGCTGATAACCAGACCAACATGGCCAGCACCCGTGCCGAACCGTGACGGCCGAGTTGGAAGCCTCTCTACAGTGAGTTTTCAGCTGCCGCTATTTCGGTCCCCAGTGTGCATGAACGTACATTAGGTGCAAGCTGCACATTCCCTAATAATGCCCTCTGCACTTGGCAACTCCACTTGGCAACTCGCAGAACCATATATGCAAAGGCCAAGCGGCTGCACCTGTGCCAGTCAGGAGCACGTTCAAGTGCATGAAACCTTGGCCCCTTGGCATTTGTTTGTAGGCTGCTCGCCTGTTCAGCTGGCTATGTGTACAGTTCCCACTGCATGCCAGAGATTTGGATCGTACTTTGTACTTGCAATCTGTGTTTTAGGCTCGCTGCTGCAGGTGCTCTGCTCCTCGTGCAACCGTTGGCACACAAACGGAGGCGGACACTGCAGGTTCTCTCATACCCATGTGTGAGTATTATATCCACGGTTTATGTCTATCTTGACAATGATGTCGGAGGTTTTCATATGCTAAAAAGAAAACAAAATTACACCTTTTTGTAAAGGCTATTATGGTTAAATGGCATATTTTAATTTTTGTGCATTTATTGGGGGCTTACATTACCACAATTTGTATTAATAATAATACAATTAAGATATTTTATTACATAGTTTTTCAAGCTTTAAAGAATTTGTTGCTTTTGGTCTAATTTCCAATGTGTGAACAACTATGGCAATCCAAAGTTGCAAATTATCATCACTGGTGCCAATTGCAACATTTCCAATTAACAGGTTACAAAAATAAAATAGTCTAAAATCAATTAAAACATTCTAGCTAGTCTGAGTAATCCATGTAAAATTACATTAATTGTGGGTAAAGCATATTGTGCTCTTCTTTTGACGATCGGCAAAACATCCGAGGTAGCCACCAATCCTTCCGGGACCAAATGCCCCAATGTTATGGTGCCTGGAAAGCGTCTCCGACTGGTGTGTTTACCGTGTCCAAAAAAGATTTCCTCGATTTTCCCTTGATGACGTCAAAGAAGTGTCACGCTGTCGCCGGTCGCAATCCTGGCAGCGTCCCAACAGTTGTGGTGGATGTAGCAGATGCCTGTTCTGCTGCAGGTCGCTCTCTCTTGTGACAGTCCACGAAAGCTACAGTAGCCGGAAGTTGGGACGCCGTGACAACAGCGACACTTGCGTTCGCTCGTGCTTTTCGCCAGCATTTCTACGGCCAACCGCCAGGATCGCGACATCCAACAGCATGACACTTCGGTTTCCGTGACGTCAGCTGTTGCCACTTCGGGTACTTTGGGACCACGTTTGATCTATGGGCAGGATAGGACGCTAAACACACCAATCGAAGACGCGATCCATGTACCATACCAAGATACAATGTTTTGCCCACTTCAGCCTTTCCAGTTTGAAGGAACGCTTGCATGTCTGCTCACTGCAGCACGTTTTGTTGGCGTAGGAAAACCAGTGAAACAGTAGTGAGTTTTAGTATTGCATGTACAGTTGAACCTCTTTATAACGAACACTGATATAACGAATTATTGGATATAGCAAACTAATCACAAAGTTTTGTTCGTCATGTTTTTTTTGGATGGGAGTTCTAGTTGTATACCGAAACCGTGAAATCTGACGCGCTATCGGCTATAGCGAAGCAATTCCTGCTTTTCTAGCGTCACAAAATACTATGAAGGTAATTAAAAAGTAGAAAAAATACAAAAAGTAATTTCTAAACAAAAAATTCAGAAAGTATAGACCGCCTAATGAGCAAAAATGGGCGTTTCGGGAGGTAGAGCCACCTATGATTCGAGCGAATACGGGCAATTGCGCCGCTGCTGGCCTCTATACGTGGCATCAAGAACCAGTGCAGTCTAAAGCCAACCGCCAACCACACCACTCGTAGCGGAGCTGCGAATGGCGATGAAGGGAAAAGCTGTCTCTCTGGAGACAAAGTAAAGGTTTTGAGGGCGGTGGACAGCAGTCAGAAGAAAAAAGACATCACTGCGGACTTTGAGCTTGAACCAAGCATGATATCTACCATCCTGATTGCAAGGAAGAAGATCGAAGACTGCTATGCAAACAACACCGTCAAGACTTGACTGACCAATCTTAGGCCTTGTTTAAACCCGGACGTGGGACAGGTTCTGTACTCATGATTTAAGGACGTAAGGGCACGAAATTTGCCGGTATCTGGTCAGCTTCTTCAAACGAAAGCAGTCAGTCTGGTGTGTCTGTTAGGGCATGACGATTTCAGCGCGAGCAGTGGTTGGACCCAGCGTGGTGGCTCCAGGTGAAGAGGCACCCGCCCAAAATCACGTCTTCAAATAAATGGAATAATAGATCCAGCTAACGTCGTTTCTCGTGTTGAAAACTGATATCCTCATGCTCCAATCTATCTTTTTTTGTAATGCTGCTTAGTGACAGATAAGGATCTCATGGTCCGCAATAGCGGACTTTTATATCTTAGTGCTGTGCACATTCTTGCACGGGTTTGATTACGGAAACATTCGTGTCAATTTTGTTGGGCACTTTTATAACGAAAATCGCATATAGCGAACAAAGTTCTACTCCCTATGCTAGTTCGTTATAACGGGGTTCGACTGTACGTATACCGTATTTTCTGGCGTATAAGACTCACTTTTTTTCCAAAATTTGCTGCGGTGTGTCTCATGTACTAATATTTACTTAGACAGTTGCGAAAAGTGGGGGGTGCGTCTTATACAATGATGCGTCTCATATACATAACACACACTTCTTTTCCACAATTTTCGGCGGTGCGTCTTATACACAGGTGCGTCTTACGTCTTATATACTAATTTTTACGTAGAAACTTGCGAAAAGGGGGGAGAGGGGGTGCGTCTTATACACCGGAAAAAATGGTAAGCATACACAAGCACTGTATTTGCGTTAACGTTGCATGTTCGACACCGCATATGCACGAATCGCAAAATTGCGGTCTTAGGTTGGCACATGGCGACGATGGACATGCACAGCATGGAGCACGCAAACACGCAGCGCTTTCGTTTGCTTTTATAGACATTTCCAGTGGCAGTCTCGTTCCGAGCATTTTACAGTGCGCGTCCCTGGTTTTGAGAGTATGTCAGTGTTGCCCGACTCTGCGGGGCTGTAGGTTTTCTCGTCGGTGGGCTGTGGCAGCCCGTAAAGTTGCAATTCCTAACACTGGTGGCAGCTAAATTGCTGCCTTTTATTGTTTTTTTTGTATGTTTCGTGGCAAAAGAAATTTCTTTAGTGTCTTTGAGAAAGTATTTTACCATTTCTGGGAATTTACCATTTCTGGGAACAAATACAAACAAATAAAAACTATATCTAGTGAGTTCTTGTGCGACAGAACAAGTGCAACTCTAATGTTTGTTTTATTTTACGCAGATTTTTCACGCCACCCAACACTCGCTGCCTTGCCAATCTATAAAGCTCTTAACTGTAGGAAATATTTAATCACGCGATATAGCCAAAAGTCATAGGTATACCCCGCTCGCAACATAACATTCAAGAAGTCTGATCATTTGAACATTTTGTACGTACCCCACAGTGCCACGTTATCCGAGCAGGGTTTATTTGAGAAACATCTCAAGTAACACAGAATATCAGATCTAGTGTCGAGGGCAATCACTTCACGACAGTCAGACAGAATCCGGACTTATTGTAGCCAGTGTGTCTAGTGACCGGGAAAACCGGGAATTGTCAGGGAAATTTTAATTACCGGGAAAAATCGGGGAATTGTCAGGGATATTGTCAAAAAGTGAGCCCTTTCAGGGAAAATGAGCCGAAATGCCATCGAGTTCCCTGAGCAAAGGTGCAACGATTTGGGGGCAGAAAAACAGGCAATAAATTCTGCTTAGAGTGGAGCGCAGACTCTGCTCATCCGATGTAGAGTATACTACCCGATGGAAAGGGAAGAGCCGACGAATCCAGTCCAAGCCTTGTACGGGATTGAATTGGATTGAGGGCGCGACACTAGGCTAGATTCTGTTAGAGCTACTACATTTAGTAACAAATAGGAAAGCCGCAGACGGTAATTTAATCCAAACCTTAAGCCGAAAGTGTGCATCTGGTGGCCATGCTGCCATTCGGTTATTGACATATATGTTTGAGCGTCATGTTTTCATTGTGTTTCCGGAAGTGGCCTCTTCGCTGACTATGTCGGCGGCAAGAAAGTGCTCGTTTAATCTGGAACTCATGTTTACAAACAAATCGGAGCGCCCGGAGCGCCCCTAGCAGACGCCACCAGCGCCGCGCATGCGCGATGGGGGTGTGGGCAAGAAGCTCGCCGTCGCCCATAAACAAACCATTGAAATGCGATGTTGTCGGCGTCTGTGTGAGTCCCCTGCCCTTTTTCGCGTTCGAATTGTTGGTTCTCCGTCTTCCTGGCGATGTCTGACAATCTTGAGCGGTGTCAGCGAAATTACCGAGGCTCGTTACACTGCAAAACTTCGCGTGAATAATGTGACTTGTGACGATTCCTTCCGCGTGGACGCCGCAGATTGTACGCTAAAGCCTGATTCGCATGATGAGATTTCGCTCAAAATTTTGAGTCGGCGACGCCGCTTGGGTTGCAAAAACGTGAACTGTAGCTGAGATGGTCGACGACGATACTGAATCGCAAGCAGAATCGGACCAACTGAATTAGGCATAACAACAAGTCGGTGTTGGTCACTGGTAACAATGACCAACATCTCCTTGTATCTACTGTTTACATCGAGCCTGCTTACCAACCTTCAAATTTGAGTCTTTTGAGGCCTGCACTCACTTCTTATCGTAAGTACCGGGCCAACATTTGGTCTACGGACCGGCGTCGTCTAAGAGAGCAGACGACAATTCAAACAATCAGGCGGCCGTTTGAACTTGAAGACGCACTGAACGTAGTCCACAGGTGGTCCGCACAACTTGACAGTTTTCTGGCACTCATGTTGGAACAAAACAAATACATCTGATGACCAAAAGTATTCGTGAATTCAACCCAAAGTGCTTCCCGCCCAAGCAATCGTTGTCCGACGGCGTCTGCTTTTCCCTTTTCACGGCACATATCCAGATTCTCGGACGAACCGAACGCATGAAAACTGACCTTCAAACCTTTCTCGACACTTTTGGTTCAGCCCCAGTCGCGGCGTTTTGACGAGAAGGCAGGTTTTTGTCTGGTTCCTTTCAAAACAACGCAGGAATACACCTCTGGCATGGGGACTTCTGCCCACAGCCCCAGACCGGAAGTGCAACCGATGCGCCACCACCGCGCCGTGACGTCACAGAGATGAGTTTGTGTATATGCTTAACCGCCTCTACAGTGGTCAGGGAATTTCACCTTAAATTGTCAGGGAAAACCTGGAAAAGTCGGGGAATTTCAAAATAATAATTTGCTAGACACCCTGGTTGGGCATATTTTAAAGAGAGCTTGTATTTCACACAAAACCGAGGCCAAGGAACGGACGTGTCTGCATATTCCACACTGAATGAGCCATTTTTCCGAAGATCTTGAAGGCTTTGGAGATTATCACTGCGGAGATAATCCTTGAAGAACAGCCCACGTTGCCAGCCGTTGGACGTTCTCTCTCTTCGTTCGTTTTCCGTGAAGGGCGAGCAGGCTACGAGCCCTGATATTCTCTGGTTCTCACGGTGGAATATAATACAAAAAATGTAAGCATCTTGATTGGCAAGTAAAGTAAAAACTTTCAAGAAAAGATGGCAAACTTTCAGCGTTCAATGAAGGTGGAGAGTCGTGCTTACTGGGTTTCCACAGCGCGGGGGGGTGACCGGAGTTTCCGGCCAATAGGGGGGTTGTGGGAGTCGCAAGATGGCGCCGTCCGAAGAGCTCTTTTCGGAAAGGTCTATACGCAATACTAAAACTCGAGAAAGGTTGAATCCCATTCTCGCTGCAGCACTACACTGGGAGAATGCATTGAATTCAGAAATGACTGTTTGCAAACCATGATCGTGAGCAGTTCTGCCATGTGCGCTGAGCAGGAGAACTGGGTGACCTTCAATAGAGCGTTTCCCCATTTCCGCTGCAAGAGGGCGAGCAACGAGCTCGAGGCGCGAATAGTGAGCTGTTGAGTTGCCCAGGTTGCTGTCATTGTGACGAGAAAGATATTGCGCTTTTCAACCTTGTTGTTGCAGACCTCGTGCTTACATCAGCTGCCTCGGAAAAACCAGGCCACGCAGCATGGACAACTCGAGGCTCCGGTTCAGTCTGTGACCCTTCTGGTAAGTTGCTGTCATTGTGCCTAGAAATTATTGAGCTGTTGCAACATAGTATGCGTTGCATGCAATAAATGGGTGAACACAACATATTTCTCCAGTGCGTGTCGATGTCCCAAAATAATTGCTACAGCATTTCTATTCCTTTAAATCACTTGTGTTTGTCTTCCATTTTGCCTTTGAACCTGAGCGACTCAGATTCTGCTTGCGATTACATTAACCATTCGATACATCATCTCACACTTATGAACTCGAGTAAAGGTGCAGAAATGCTAGGGTTTTTTTATGTTGTAAAACAGAACTGTCTCCACATTTCAAGAACAAACTTTTCCAAGCTGCCGCATGCGACTCCAAACAATAATGGGCAGGCCCGCTTAGACGCGTCTAGGCACACATTGCAGGGTCGCACTCTCATGGCGATGGCACAGCTGTCGAAAACGTTGGGCGGGGAGGATTTGCTTCGATAGAAAGGAGTAAATGGTGCAGGGGAGAAGGTTTGCGCTTTCTTTCAGTATAAAGGGACCTTAGGCCCCGGTTGGTTTCTGCAGGTGAGGTGGAAAAGAACTGCAGTTTTGCCTGTCTCAAAAATCGCCCTCATGATGTAGAATGATGATAATACATTCACTGCAAAGGTGCAAGCAAGCTGGACAAGATTTTGAGATTTGTGTTTGTCCTTTGTCCCCCTTGTTCCCCTTCTTCAGGGTTTATTATAATCATAATGTAGAAATGTTTTTTTGTTTTTTTTTTATTTAAGGATGTAGGTAATTTTATCCAGTACAATAAAGTTTTAGATCTTATTCAAGTAAATATGATATAAAAAATGAAAACTAATTTTACATCCTTACGCAGGCATTGTGGCATACTTTTCCCGGTCGAGCGTAGCAGCAGCATTTTTGTGTGAATTTTCTTGCTACTGTTACCAAGTTTGTTCATTTCAGGATTTTATGATGAAGTGATGGCAGCATGTTTTGAACTGAATTGTCTACTGCCTCGGGTTTTGTGCACCATCGTAGCAGAAGCAGCTCGTACCATTCATCAGCTTGAACACCCATGAAAGGGATGAACGTAGCTGCCATTCCAAAGGTAGAATAGACCCTTTCCGAATTCCAGTGCCATCTGGTGGCTGATATAAGAGTTTAATTTTCGCCACACCAATGGCGGTAATGAGCTTGTATTTTAGGAGGCACCGTTGCTTTCGCAAGTCAGCGGCAGGCAGGGAAGTGTTCGCAGTTCCTTTTCAGTTGCTTTCAGTTTTGATGGTGACAAAGATATACGCAATAAGAGCGAAGCTCCAACCTCCACAGACGCCTCGATAAACTTCTGCACAGCAAAGGGCTTTAGAGCCGACGGTGTGTCCCCCACAGATTGTCTGAATCTGAGTTGGAAATGAACACTTGCAAAGCTCTTGCATTTGATTCCTGCGTCACATCGTACCAACCCTACTGTCACGCATAAGGCAGCAGACTAAGCGCCATTGCCGCTGGGTTATTAGATGTGCGCGTGTAGGCACTGATCGGTCGATTCAAAAGGGGCGGTGCTGGTGAGACGAGACAGGCAGTCGGGTGCTAGAACATGTCGAAGCAACACATTCACCGAGCCTAATAAAGCGCTGCCCCCAGAGACTGGCTACCTCCTTCTCTGGGTTATACGGTGTCCGGTTCTATGAGCCACGGCTACCTCTAATGTTTTGGTGGCACCGCTTCGTGGGTGCCCTCCTTTGACGGAGCTGGTAGGATGCGAGCAGACGACGCGCTATGTCAAAGCACGGAGTGCTTGCTGTGTTGGTTCGCATCTGTGTCGATTAAAAATGTTTTATTGATTAAAGAAACGTGTACAAAGGTTTTGTGAGTTACATTTCTAATGAATCACAGTGCCCTGAAGTTGCTTTTTATATTAGAAAACCTTCAAACGTTTAAAAGCATGCCTGGAGCTTCACGTTACAGGTTGCACGGCGTACGGCAGGGCTATTCACAGCCCCTCTGATCCTTTTTTTTTTATATCTATGGAGGTTGTTGTAGAAAAAAAGGTTTTGTATGCAGTAGAGTAAGTGGCGTGTTTTCTTCTTAGCTGTGCACGTGCACACAGTTGTGTTGCAAAGTGCCCGCATTCTTGTTTTAGCTACAGTGAGCCTGTCGATTCCGACGCTTCTGTTGAAGTCTGCATTGAATACATGGTAAAGAAGTTTGTCACATCACAACTCCTGCTCGAAAGAAAAGCAGAAATGTTCATAAATTCCTAAATTGTGGGATATGGGCCGGCAAATTCAGGCAATTGATTAATTTGTTCTATTGAATTTTTACTAAGAAATCTATTTTCATTATCCAGCTTTTTGCACTGGGTAGAGAACAGTGCACCACCGTCCCAGCGCTTCGACACCTAAGCACCAAAAGTGTTTTTGTTAGCACGACTATCCATGCCACGATTCCAAGCTTTGGTAAAATGTCTTACTACAAGTATCACTTAACCAAATAAACACAACCCGTGAAACAGGCTTTGCCGCACGTTACCTAAACAGCGCATCAAGCGAGCAGACGGATCCAAGATTTGCGCGGTCTGTTCCAGTCTGTCCTACCTGTGACATCACAAACAATGATGATGATAGCTGGAGAAGTGCCCTCTGTAATTTGCGCACGACAGATCCGATTTGAACGAAGTTATGGTATGGTGCAACTTGCGGTGCATGACTGTTATGCACCATGAATAACAAATGTAAAGCTATCTCGACGTAACACCACCATTGTCATACTATATCTTGGTACCTCCCCCTTCGAGTACGTGACTTCCTACAAATATCTTGGTGTTTACATTATTTTTATTGTCATGTCAGACTAATTCTGATCATACAGTTGCTATTGCCAACTCTATCTCTATGCTCGGATATCTAAAACAAAATTTTACATTGGCCCCTATGTCTTTGAAATTGCTTCTATTTAAAACTCTAGTATGTTCTAACATGTAAAGCGCTGCATCAGATCTATGAAAGCTAACCTATCTCTTCCTCTCTTGCATTGCAAAATATCTCGTGAATGTCTTCATTAAATTTGTGACTCTAACCCTGCTCTAAAAGATAAGCTTCCTTCGTATATTTCCACTCACATTGACCATCAATATAAAAGTGGAATTCATCCCTGCCGCACAAATTCATCGGAATTCAACCCTGTCAGAAGAAGTGTTTTTAAAAAAAGACCGAGCTAGTGTTAATTGCTCATCTATTTAATGTGAATAGAATTCGCTTCCAGTGTCTCTTGTGAGTTACAGAAATGTATTTTGGAAATGCAAATTAGCAAGATGTGAGAAATATATGCTTTAGAATGCCAGGTATTTTATTTTTCTCAAAAAGTATAATATAAAAATGCTAATTGTGTACATCACAACATTGGTGAGTATTGAGCAGTGTATTCGACTGTCTTCGACTACCAGCTTCGTTACGTGTGCGCAGCGCACACGCCGAAGGATGTTGGGGCCGAGGAATTGAGCAGCCCCAGGAATGCCTTGCCCGTCGAATACATTGATGCTAACAAACAATCCGTCGCCTGTGGTCCGCTTTCGGACAGTGAAGTCATGAACCTGGTCAGGCCTAAGAATGGTTGCGTCGCTCTCCGTGCCGTGTGAGGTTCACAGGGCAGTTTTCCTTCGGCAAAAGGCACGCCAAAAGCGCCCTAAAAAGGGTTTGTAAGTTATAGAGCATGGTTACTGTGGTGCGCCCACGACCAGCCGTCTGTGCGCCTCCGTCAGTGGAGACATGCCACAGTACCCTGTCATGCCGTACTGACACCTAAAATGACATTTTACGCCGTGCATGAATGGAAAAATTTGATCCCGCGTAATGAACGCACCTCCCAAATATATGTGAATTTTTAAGGGAAAAAAGTGTGTTCATCGTGGGACTAAGTACGGTAGATAACATGGTCGATCTCGGAAATACTACAAAACCTTCACTCGGTGCCAGGGATGGGCAAAATAATGCAAATATGTATCGAAATACAAATACAAAATACTTCGTCAAAAATGTATTTAATTACAAATATAATTACATTCACAAAAAAACATTCACATACAAGATACAAATACGACCAGATGTATTTGGTCTCCTCCAAATACTTTTCCAAATACATTCCTCAAAATTTGCGTCAACGACTTCAAGGCACCTGCAACGGGTTTCTGGGTATCTCATTTTAATTTTGCATCGCACACTCGGGAGTTAGTGTGCGGGGCTCTAGTAACGTAATAGAAATATAATTAAAAAAATGTGATCAGCTTGGACATAATAAGTGAAGAAAGTTACAGAGCTTCAAGCAGCTTTTTTTGTCGATTACATTTTGGTATAGACCAACAAAGAACCGAGACGACCAAGATGCACAGCACTAGCTAGAGAATTTTTTATTGTTTCAACTCGCACCAGTTACGAAAATCTGGACGACCCGCGCATTTAGAATTTTCCAGGCAAAAATATGGATTGAAATCAGGCTGGAAAGCATCACAAGTTGTCACAGGCACTCATTTAGCTAGTCTGCATGTGAACGTCGATTTCGTCACTATTCGTGCCCTGGACTAGCACCGTAATCACAAAGCCACTAAACGCGTGTGCTTGATTAAGAGACACTGCATTCGGTGCAGAACGTAGTTTTCTTTCTGCTCTGGAACGTGCCTTTAAAATAAAGCCGGAGGAGAAAAAAAAAAAAAAATCCTCATGGCCGAATAAATGAAGGAGGCTATATCTTACAATCACATGCAACAAAACAAGAATTGTCGTGATAATAAATTTGAGGGATGTATTTTCGCTCACAAAATTGTATTTAATTACAATTGTATTTGAAATACACATGTCAAATACATTACCTAATTTGTAATTAAATGCAAATGCAAAATACACAAAATATTTGAAATACGTATTTCAAATACTTGTATTTGAAATACTGCCCATCCCTGCTCGGTGCAGTTCACGTAGATTTGGAAGTGTTGCAGAGCTACCTGGTGGATGGCACCAGTGTACCAGGGTGTTCTCTCCTCGTCGCTGGTTGCGACACAGTCGATGGCGCTCAAGTGTGTGAACCAGCCTTTAGTGTTGCTCTGTCCTCATGTTCGTGCTTCAAGCCCAGAGACCTTTAGAAATTTATATCATTTGTGTTTATTTTGTCCTTGGAAAACAGCATCGGCCATTAACCATTCTAATAGGTTTCACGCACCTTTTTTGTCTCATCTATCTTTCCCATAATCCAGGTTTAAACCTGGGCTCAGCTGTCATGGGGGCAGTATATTTCAGCAAACACTCTAAAAGCCTCTTTTGTTTTCTTAACACATCTCCTTCCACTTCCATCTCGTCATTCAATTTTGGGCAGGATTTCACTGTATTAAAGCAAAAGAAAATAATCTTACTTTATTCAAAATATCATTGTGCTTGCCTCGCATGTTTGCTATGTGTTCAACATTTGCAGGGCATGTTAAACAAACTTCCAAGCCATGCCTTTTTTTTTTAGTTTGCTATTGTCGGGGAAAGCAATGTTTACTTATCTTGTAGGCCACCTCTTCTCTTTTGAGACCTGTACAACTGCTTCATAAACTTGCCTGTAAATGGAAGGTTCTCATCAGTCATGTCACTGTCCAAGAGAAAATTTCTAACATAATTGCACCATCTCAGGAATGACTCTTCCAAGCCCATTGTCTGCTATCCCTGCAGTCCAGAAAGTTTTTCTTGGCATTTGTTTCAATGCCATATCAAGTATAACTTCGGTAGCTTGCAGGTGATTGGAGACCCATGAAATGTTTGCCAATTACCAGTGCATTCGCCACAGGGAAGTGTGCTTGTTTAATTGTTAGCAATATGAACAGTGACTTTGAGCTGAGGGACACAGATGAACACACTTCCGGATTAAACATATGCTCATTTGTGTCGTAGCCGCATCAGAGTAGCCGAAACTGTGTCTTGATGCACGTTTGCTGCACAAAAGTGTGTCAAGGGGTTTAATGCCTAGAGATTCACACGGTACTAATTACTTCCTTAAAGCGTGCCTACCATTTATGGCCATATTTATTGTGAATGTTTTTTGTTTCCTTTCCTAACGCTCACGGGGATGTTTGTTGTGTAGGTAAAGGAGGGGCGTGCTCAAAGGAGATCAACTCTCTATCAGAACCCACAACAGGCATTCTCTTCAAATGCTGTTTCTGCACCCATGTTGCGGGGGATCAGCGTGGAATCCTCAGTCACCTGGTTGTCCATAGCGATCAACACCTCGAGCGCCAGCAGTGCCCAGCAGATCCCCCTTCCAAAGAGCAAGACATGAGATGCAACACTGAAATTGACGAGCCAGAAAGAACTTTTGAGTGTCATCTGTGTCCAGAAGCTTTTCAGGAAAATAGTCAACTGGTCAATCACATTGGAATGCACACATGTGAAAAACCTTTCAGATGTCAGGAGAGCTCCGAAACATTTTTTCTTAGTAGTTCCCTGGACTCTCACATCCAAGTCCACGCAAGTAAAAAGCCTCACAAGTGCCAGGAGTTCTCTGAAGCATTTGCTCAAAGTGATACTTTGGCCATCCACATGCAAACCCACACTGGTAAATGTTCCCAAACCTTTGATATGCGTGCAGCCCTAAAGGCACACATTTGAAGGCACTCAGGCGAGAGACCTTTCAAATGCAAGTAATGTCCAAAAGCCTTTAGTAACCGTACGAACCTGAGGCGGCATGTTCAAACGCATACAGGTGCGATACCTTACAAATGCGATAAATGTTCCAAAACCTTCACTTCACATGGGAACCTGACACAGCACATTTGAAGCCACATGGGCAAAGTGTCTTTCACATGTAAAAAATGTGCCAAAGCTTTTAGTGTGCGTGGGAACCTGATCTGCCACATGCAAACACATATGGAAGAGACCTTACATATGTGAGCACTGTTCCAATGCCTTTAAGGTGCGGAAGTACCTGGTGAGGCACATTCAAACGCATGAGGGGTCATAGAATCATATGTCCCACAACTCGTCTGCGTCAGCCGGCCTGAGCAGAGCGATGATTTGTCTGAAAAGAAAGGCGGTCCGGTATAATGCGCCTCATATATGAGAGCAGTCAGAGTTGTGCTCTGGTCGGCTACATACTAACGTGCAGGCGAAGGTTCCCCTGTGTTGACGGTTTGCAAGCGCTTCTTTACTGTACTGGTTGTCTAGCTTTGAATCGGTCCGATAAACCTTTCTGGGGTGTCAGCACAAATCCCTTTGGAAAAACTGGCTTCGTCTGACCTGTTTGATTTCAGTTGTAGCTAGTGCTCAGTGTTTTAGGGGCTAACTTTTTGTTTTTAGATTTGGGCGGTGTTTTTTGTGGGTTTTATATCCTCCCGGAGGTTCAATATTTTCCAGGGTTAAGTCGTACCAAAATCGCCGTTTATTGGGGCTTAGTTCAAAGAAAATGATCTGGATGAGCATCATACCGGCGTGCGGTCGTGTATCACGCACTGGCTAAATTGCTCATCTGCAGCGTGAGACTCGTCGCAACTTAAATGGCTGACCAACTACACGCTGTATAAATATCCCCACTACCCCCAAAGTTCAAAGAAAACAGGATACTGGCATAGGATTCCCCAACCTCATGGAACACGCGCATGACCCGAGAAGGAAAGGAGATAAGGAATGTGATTCTTGAGTAAAGATGCATCCTCACAAACACTTGAGTGTGAGCTGTGTTTCGGGTCAACACAAAATACTCCCATATCACACATAACGAGCAAAGCTCGATGCCTTTATAGGTGCGTTAAGTTTCCATTAGGCAAAACATTTCTGAGCTTCTCAGAAAAATATAAAAACCTGTAGAGTTTGTGCAACCGGCAGCATCGAAATTCGACGAGTGTTATTGGATTTTATCAGATTTATCCGAAAACGCAGGAGCCACATTGGCGATATATATCTGGGACCATTTTTTCCTAGTTTGTACTTGGGACCATTAGTTCAGGGACCATTTGTTCCGGAACCGTTTGTTCTGTTTCCCCCTCTGGAGTGGTGCAACTTGCACCAGCCTGAGTCTCCGCACCCCATTCTCGTAGCGCAGTTTGTGCATGCCATCCCAGCATCAAGTGCACCAACGGAGAGTAACTTCTCATTGGCCGGCATCGATTTAAGGGGGGACACTACCCGGAGAAAAAAAGATTCTTCAAAAAACATTGATTTTGAAAAATTACATATTTACATCCATCTACATCCAGAGAGTATTCCCAGAAATTTTCACTAGTTTAAACTGCATAGTTAATTTTTTATAAATTATTTTCTGTCCTCCAAAGCTAAAGGAAAGGTAGGGTTTGGAGCACTTTGAACACATTTTTCTCCGTTCCACTTTTTTGTATAAATTCCATTTTAGTCAATCTATCGTTTGAGAATGGAAATACAGGCAAGGCTCGTTCCTCACTTTCCCTGACTGAAATTTAATAAGGAATGCGCCTATGGAGTTTGTTTGTCACTTTACGGATGTCTTTTATAAAAAATGTTGACATTTTGTCGTAGACACAGAAGACCAAAAAGTTGACAAATTTCGCAGTAAAGAAAATTTATAGAAATCAATTACTTTTTACAAAAACCTTTCCATAGGCACACCTCCTAGGCATTCTGCTACATATCTAGCAAATAAAAATCTTTAATATTGTGATAGTTTTCTGACGATAGATTAACTAAACAGTGTAGGGGTGTTGCTGATAGAAGCTGCCCTAATTTCCTTCCCAATTAACTGACAGACCTAAAATTTTGTTATGCACCTTCTAGCATGACCACCAGCCTACCCTGTAAATTTCATTAATCTTAAGCAAAGGGTTCAAAAGTTGACCCTCCCAGGGGGTGTCTCCCCTTAAGAGAGGTAAACCAGCCTGAATTCGTCCTTGTTCATGATATGGCGTGTATGCGAGTTTTTTTTTTCTTGACAGTTGGCACTGGGTGTTTTTATGCATATGGTCCCAAGCATACAATTGAAGGTTCGTGTTGAAAACTGAAACCGATGGAAGGTGTTGCCATTATTGAATATTGTGATATTTTCCCTGTGGTGTACTCGCCTGCGGTAAGTGAGTGCCTTTCCTATTACTCTTTTTTTATTGTTTGGCCTAAATAAAATGACAAAATGTTATTAGTTTGTCCTTTGTTCATTTTCATGTGTATAAAATATGTGTCTGCTTGAGGTGTGTTTTACAAAGCAAAAAGGAAAATATTAAAATTTTATTCCTTTGAGCTCATACTCTGGGCAGTCTCAGTGTGGACTCCTAAGACAATCTCATGACTGCCATCATCTTTCCAGCGATGCAAAGTGTGTTTGGAAGGATCATTGCTTATTTTATAAATACAATAAAATACTTTTACCATATTCTGACAAGAGTTTTTTTACAAAGGTAAGCAAATGGGTTTTAGGATCGTCTTTGTTTTACATGTGTACTCTTCAATGTTGTCCCACACAAACACGCTGTTCATTAGAATACCATTCAAACACTTTTTTTGTGTTTGTGTGAATGCATGTTTGACTTTATGATGTAAAATGAACGTGCGAATTATGGGTGGGATGCGGTTTGGACGCAAATACAAAGTCTGCGGATGCGGATATTTAAGAACATTGCAGGACGCTGATATGAAGTCTGCAGATTGAATGTGGATGATGTCTTATCTGCGCAGGGCTCTATTGATAAGCCTCTGCAGTTTCCGAACAGGCGGGTGCTGGGCCTCACTTTTCCACTTGTTTGTAAACTCCTCTTGATGGCAGAAGTTTTCTATTGAAACCAAACATGGACGTAAAATTATGAAGCACAGTTACCCGCACTTAAGTTTTTTAGATTAAAACTTCATTTATTTTCACACACTCAACATGGCTTTCGTAAATACCGTATTTACTCGCAGAATGAACGCACTTTTTTTTTTCCGAAAAGTCTATGCAAAGTTGGGGGGGGGGGGGGGGAGGGGCGTTCATTACGCAAAGTAAAATTTTTGCGTCCGTATTTACTCGCATAATGAACGGACCTTTTATCTTAAAAAATCGAAGTAACTTATCTCTTTACGGGCGGCGCCCAACCCCGTAACCAAACTAAGCTGTGCAAAAAAAAAAAAAAACTTTTTTACTTAGTTTTTTGGATTTTTTTTTTTTTTTTGCCGCCTTTTGCAAGCTGTTTTGTTTGCTTAGGCGAGGGCTCTCCACTTATCTTTCTTATCTCGTTGCGCGCGGCCCGCGATGCACGACCTCCCGTAACCAAACTGCCCTGTGCAAAAAAAAAAAAAAAAAAGCTCCTCGTTTCCTTGTTTTTTCTCAGTTCCGTGGGGTTCTTTTTCTTTTTACCGCCTTTCGCAGGCTGTTTCGTTTGCATAGAGGGCCTCTCCGCTCTTACCTCCTTGCGCGCGGCGCGCGACCCCCGGTAACCAAACTGCGATGTGCAAAAAAAGGAAAAAAAAAAAGCTCCTCTTTGCTTTTTCTTGGTTCCGTGTTTTTTTTGCCGCCTTTTCAAGCTGTTTCGTTCGCTTAGAGCGCTTCTCTTTCTTACCTCCTTGCGCGCGGCGGAGCGCGAACCCAAAAAGCAGACTGCGCTGTGCAAAAAAAAACAAAAAAAACGTGTTTTTTTTTTCTTGCTTTCGTTGGATCTTTGCGAATTTTTTAAACGCGTTTTGCAAGGCATTTTGTTCGCCCACGCTGCCCATGCATTCGCGACCTCGCTGCACCAGGATAGAAAAGTGCGTTCATTTCGCGCGCGTGGGGTGAGGGGGTCATAATTTTGACATCCAAGTTGGGGGTGCATTTATTACGCGAGTGAAAAAAAGTCGGAATTTCGATAGCCGACTTGGGGGGTGCGTTCATTACGCGAGTGCGTTCATTGTGCGAGTAAATACGGTATCTAGTGAAACTCAACTGATGTTCTTTACTAAAAGTTTACTTTCCATTCTTGATCGAGGATCCCAGTGTAGTTTTTCACAATTTCTACAAAGAATGCGACAAGGTTTCCCATAAGCTGCTACTTCTCAAACTTGACAAGCTTTAACCTGGACCCCACTCTCTTATTCTGGAGTGACTGTTTTCTACAGGGCGATTCAAGGAGACGCCAGGCTTTTTAAATCGACCGCAAAATTCGGTTTCTTAACCTATCGCGCTACGACTTTGTGCCCACAGATGGTGCATTTTTTTTTGTAAAATTTGCAAAGAGCGAACTTGCCTGAGGAAAAAGTAAAGAAAGAAAAAGGCTTAGCTCCTATGGAACTGCAGCAATGCCACCGGTTTTCAGACAACATGGCGCGGTTTTGCACGGGAGACGAGATGGCGCAACGAATGGCACCAACAAACGGCGCCGAGAGCCGGCGTTTTTAGCAGACAATCTTTTCGACTCAAAAGCGGCGCGCGTTCCGCAGGCGGCGACAGTCGCAGTAACAAAAACAGGCACGGTAACAACAAGAAAGTGCAGTTCCTTGTCTGCTAAAGACGCCGGCTCAGCGTCGTATGCTCGTTCGTTGGCAGCAATTGGCGTCGCGACTGCTTGCGCCATCTTTTGTCTTCCGTGCGAAACGGCGCCGTGTTGTTGGAAGACCGGTAGCGTCGCTGCATTTCTATAGGAGCTAAGCCTTTTTCTTTTTTTACTTTTTCCTCGGGTAAGTTCGCTCTTTGCAAATTTTACAAAACAAAAATGCACCATCTGTGGGCAACGCTGCACGAAGTCGTAGCGCGATAGGTTCAGAAAACAAATTTTGCGGTCGATTTAAAGAGCCTGGCGTCTCCTTGAATCACCCTGTAGATCGGTCTGTTTGTCACTACTAATCCAGCTAATTCTAACCTCAGTCCTGTCTCCTCTGGTGCCTCACGAGGGTCTGTCTTGGTCCCAATACTATTCCTTATTTACCTAAATGATTTACCTCAGAAGCTCTCGCCCTGTTAGTATTTGTTTACGAACTGTGTCATATACAGGGTGTTTTCTCTAATAGTGACACTAATTTTCAAAAAACCCGTGAAGCTTGCTACATTTACGTGGCTTGTGCAGGTGAGTTTACGGCCAGGGGGATACATAGGGCGTCCCAGGTCACCACGCTCGATCTAGAATGGACCGTAAAAATCAACAACTGCACGTAGCAATCTACACTTCTCGTCAAAGGTGTATTTACAGGTAGGTTGTTAGAGTGCAGCTCTTAGGCCGTCGTAACCGCGCTTTGTATTATGGTTAGGGTGACCAGATGTCCCGTATTGCCAAGGACAGTCCCGTTTTTTAGGTCCGCTTCTGCCGTTCAGTCTTTTTGTCCCAATAAAGAATCCTGTCCTGTTTTCGCAGGAGTGCATAGTTTCGAAACTGGCACCAAGTGGGTTGAAGCAAACTGAAACTATGCCTACTGGTTACAAGAATATTTTACAAAAATAACCGTATGTACTTAAATATTTAATTAGAGAGTTAAATTTAGAACTGTTCTTGCCCAAAAACACTTTCTCTCACAAAAATGCGTGTACAGAATTGTTTTCTTTTCTCGAGTTACTAGATATAGCACGCATGTAGAATCTTGGTTGGCAACACAACACTATTACAGTGGCTTAAAAAGGGTAGTGTGGTTACTGCGTAGCCTCCACCATGCATCAAGAACGGCCGCTCCTTGGAAGACGGTGTAGGTTGCGCCTTGATCCGCAGCTCCGTTGGGTGCGTCAATTGGCCGGCCAGATAGAGGCACCCTAACACACTCCATAACTAATATAAATCCCTCAAAAACAATTATTTGTTTCCAGTGAACTTCCAACGACATGATTTTGTGTTTGCAGGTGAATAAAAATGTGAAGCTAGCAGACGACAGTGTAGTCGACAGCTGCGAATCGGCCAGAGCTGGCCGGAGCCAAGCTGACCAAGCCGGAGCCATAGCCGGAAAGACGGTGCTGCAAGCGCCAGCGCCACCCTCGGCAGTCTTCCAACACTGTGCCGCTTCTCCGGTTTGGTTCGTTACACTACCCCCTTTAAGCCTCTGTAATTTCATTTAACGCTCTCTGGGCGGCACCATTTTGTTTGACAGCAGCGCCCGACTCGGCTAGCAGACGACAAACCGGGAGGTTGCCATTCTCCATCTTTGGGTTGTACCGGCGGGCAATATGGAACATCGAACTCTCGCTCGTGGCTGTCATGAAGTGGTTCGCGTTCTTAGAATA